CACTTCTTATTATTTAAACCTATCTAAAATTTTCCACCTTTTCACTCCAAAATCTCGCGTTGAAGTGTTGTTGCTACTGCCTCCCTTCTTGTTCCTCCTATTTCACGATCAACAACAACAAAAAAAAACGTTGCTGCTACACCAGCCACTGCAGCCACCGAGCACCACAACCACCGGGGTCCGCCTGCTGCCGCGCCGCCCAGCACACCACCAGCAACCCCCTTGCGGTTCTTCTTCTTCTCTTTTTCTTTCTTCCTTCCTTCCTTCCTTTTTATTTTTGCCCTAATCCTTCATTGTTTTGATAATTATTTTTTATGATATTGTTAATTGATTTTAATGGTTTAATCATGTGATAATTTATCTTAAATTATTAGTTTTATGAATCTTATTACACACTTTAAAATTTCAAAAAATTTGTTCATAAAATAAGGGCTTAAAAATGTTAGTTTTCATGTTTTGGGGTTTTAAACTGTGTTCTACAAGTTATTTAATTAAAATGATTATATTGTAATTCTACCATGATCATGATGATGTTTAATTCAAAAACAAATTTTCAGTTTTCCGTAATCAACTTCTGATCTCCGTTCTTATTTTTTTTAATCACGTTTAGATTCTAACTCGTCCGATTTTTACAATAAAACAGTGTTTTCGTGTGTAAACGACGTTTTAATCAAAAATCACTACCTTTGGTAGTATGCACCACCCTCACGTGGTCAAATTCAGCCTCTAAATATGGTTTTCGGGCAGTTTTTGATTTTTAATGAAGGTTTAATGTTTAAAATAAATTTTCAGATTATTAAAGTTTTAATCTTGGGTTTAAATTGTATTGATTTCGTGTGTTTCAAGTCTCTAATTTCATTAAACAAAGGTTGTGGTTATTTTATAATTATAAAGTTTGGAACTTTAAAGTTTAATTGCAAGAATAAATTTTCAGATTTTTGGTTATTGTTTTTGGAGTCTTTAATTACATTGAATTGAGGAATTTTTGGGTTTTTAGTCTACTAACTTTCTATATAATGTATTTAGCGATAAAGATTTCTATAATTTCAAGATTTCATGTGTAAAATAAATTTTCAGATTTTTATAAAGTTCTAAACTAGCTGTAATTTCATGAATAAGTATGTATTTTAAGGTTTTTATGTAGGAAACTTAAAGAACTATATATAAGCTTTTAATTCTAGTAAAAGGGAAGGTTTTAAAGTGTTGTTTAATTGAATTTTTAAGGTTTTAAAGTAAGTTAGTATTACTGTAACTTATATTGCTTGGGTATTGATTGAATTATTATTGTTTGGTTTAGGAGAGGACTTTGTAGAAGGCGATTTCTAGTTCCTAAAGTGGCTAACCAACTCGTTTACTCAAGTTACGTAAAAGGATACGAAAACCTTGACTTTAGAAGCATGTTTAAGGACTTGGAAAAAAATTAGAATCATGTTAGGGAAACTTGTAGATTGGTTGAAATTGTTTGGTAGTGAGTTTGATTGATGATTAATGTGATGATTGGTTTTATTCATGTATGAGAAATGCGTATTGATTTTCTTATAAGTGTTATTTATGCAATAGCTTGCAAGATGATCGAAGTTTAGAGGCAAAGGTAAATGAATATGTGGAATGAATTATTTTAATATTCGTTCATGTTTATTGAAATGGAATGAGTAAAGGGAGAATTAAAGTCTTATAGGACGAGGTTGATGATTTAAGGTGTCTTATGCACCTAAGGTGTTTATACACCGAGGTAGTTAAGGGATTTAATAATAAATATTGTTTTTCACTAATAAATCAAGAATTGAATTGGAAATTTGAATTGCTTGAATGATTGATGTATGATTGGTTGTATCATTTTGCATTAGAGTCATCACCAAGTTTAAACTGGTAAATCACGTAACGTGCAAGAAGGATGAGCAATAAAACTCTGGATTTGTGCACATCTAGAGTAATGACAAACAGGAGTTGGGGTACACGGGGTATTAGCCGTGCACTTTTCTAGAGGATGTCTGATCTACGAGTCTCTTGTTTTCAAATACTTTTTAAAACTATAGGGAATTAGATGAGATCTCACACTAGCTAAGGCCACGAAGTCGCGCCCGTGTGGCATTGGATGTTTATTGATGTTTCCGAAATGAGGCATGGGGTTTTTCTTTTATTGATGTTTTGAAACGAAGCATGGGGAGACAACCTTGTCTATTGCTTAATCCAATCAATGAATAAAATGAAATGAATTATCGTTTGTAATTAGTAAAGTCTTAGTAATGTTAACAGTTGAGGCATGTGTTTGGGTCAATAATTAAATTGTGTGTGCTGATTGATTTTTAGTAACATGCTAGGGATCCTTTGCTATATCTCGTATGTAGCTTGTATGTACTCAGCGTTGCTGAGTGCGTGCTTTTGTGTGTCTCTTTCTTGGTCATGGCCTTCGCCTTTTCAATGACCCTGTAATGATCCAAGTTTTACACTTGTAATATTGGGGAGCAGATTAATCACAAGTTTTTACATAATCAAAACATGCATCAAGGTGGTGGGATTTTGAGTGGAGTGTTGGATATTTCCACAGCTTATTCCATTTTATAAGTTTGGATTTATTTTAACTCTGGTTTGATTTATTTACTATTTTTATTGGGTTGGTTTTGAATAAGGGCCTTGATGGTTCCAACTCGTAGACTAAATTTGGTTTTGATACTTATTGATAACTGAGTTAGTTTTTCCGCTACTAAATTCTGAACTAGCCTTAATGTTTGAACACGTGGCGGTATTACGTCAGTAATTCTCTTGCAAATTGTTAAAGGTATTTACAGATTTTTAAGAGAGAATTATTAGGGTGTTACATTCCGTTTTTACGCAGATTCTATAAGGAAATTATTTTATAATAATTCAAAATATCTTTCTTCCAATTAAAATTCTTAACATTAATAATTCTCCATATTAACCCAACTAATACACTTTTACATATACGTAGTATTTTATATTAGGTATTTTTTTTTTTGTAAAAAATAAATGTATATTAGGTAAATATTATTAAACAATACCGCTCTATATCATCTTAGTTTTCGATAATACTATCAACTCTTTTTTCTTTTTTCTTTTTCCAATTTTGTTACTTTTGCAATAATGTTTAAATTAAAAATAAAATCATTTTGTTAATACACAAATATATATACTTAATTTTCTACTCTTAAAAGTCGTATCAATAATAACGCAGCACGAGCAGGTACTATCCTTATAATTTTATTTTTTAAAATGAAAACTCATAGACCCCCCCCCCCCCTTTTTTTTTTTTTTTAAAAAAAAAAACAAGTTTAAGTGTCATTAGCCTTGACATTAGTATTCTTCCCCCCCCCAAAAAAAAAAAAAAAAACTTGACATTGGTATAGCTTGGTATAAAATTAAAGTTATATTTATTTTTTGCATTAGTATTATGAGTATAATTTTTTATAAAATTCAATACAATAACTCTTTATAAAATTTAATACAACTGTGCATTGTACGGGACTTAAACTAGTGACAGTATAAATTAATTTGTGGGCTAATAGGTTAAATTATCTATTCAAATGTAAATTAGCGGTAAGAAGTTGCTTTTTGTACAATACTATATTATGATATCAAATACCCATTCAGGTGTCACTAACAATATTTTTTAAATAAAAACATATAGGTTAAATGTGCACATTGTGCACTTATATACATCATGAAGTGTGCACCACATAAATGAATGATGCATGATACTTGTAGTTACATTAATGCCCTTTTACTCTTCATAAAACTATATCATAAAGTATTGGGTGAGTTTATTTCACCGTGAATCCATCTATTTAATACATAAAATTTCAAAATTTAAAATGTCCAATATAATAAAGTATGTTAAATTTGATAACTTAAACTAAATTAAAAATCACAATAAAATCAAGTTAATTGGTGTAATAAATTATTTAAAGGGTTAAGACTATAAGAGAACTGAAGGTTTCTTCTCATCCCTATTACCCTCCCCAAAATCTCCAACTTCATTCCCTCGCCACCCTCTTCCCTTTTTCTCTCTACTGCTTCTTCTATATAATTTCACCTATATCGAATATCATAAAGTATGTTAGTTTTTGATAATTTAAACTCATTATCAATCATATCATTGAATCAAATTAATTTTAATTTCGACCATATCATTAAATCAATAAACTCATTCTTAAGATTAGACAGATCATGGTTAAAAAAACAGTTATCACTCTAGGATCAATACACCCCCACACATCCACCTCATTCTCAAATTTTCAGTAAAATTACTCCAAAAAAGTAGATGGGATAGTTGAAATATTTAAAAAAATGTAAAAGAAAGATAGTGGGTTAATAATTTATTGAAAAGTAATGAATGTAAGAGGAAAAAAATAATAAAAAAAAAAGTATTAGTGAGTTTGGGGAGATCATAAAAGGAGAGAAATATAATATTGAAAGGCTTGTCAAAAAAAAAAATACTTCCTCTGCTCCATAAATATTGCAACAAGGATGAAATTACGCATTCCGAAACACATTTTATATGCTAAATATCTATAATTATATAAGAGTAAAAATTATAAAAAGTTGATATTGTGAAAGTATTATACGAGACGAATCTAACAAGATTTCATATGACTATATTTTACTTTACGTATAAATCATGATATGTAGCCAAACAAGCGTGATAAATAGTGTAAAAGTCCAATTGTTGCAATATTACTAGAACGTAGGAAGTATATATTAAAACACAAACTTTTCATATGTGGATAGTCACACCGTGTTACTTCGTTAGTGTTATAGGAGTTACTTGGTCAGTGTTATATGGATTACATGGCCAGTGTTACAAGGGTTACTTTGTCAGTGTTATAGGGGTTGCTTGGTCAATATTACAGGAGTTACTCAATCAGTGTTATAGGGGTTACTTTATTCTTTTACAAGCGACCATATAATGTGGTCAACCACACACAAAACACGCTGATGTTAAAATGTACCGTAACACTTAGAAAAAATGACCGTATTTGGTGTAATACTTTTAAAAAACACGGAGGCAGTACGTAAATAATGTAATACGGAGTATTAAAAAAATATAAAGGGCCAAGATACGAGAATGTAAGGTTTCCTTCCAATCCCCATTTCTCTCCCCAAAATCCCCTTCTCTCTTCTTTCCCCCGCCACCCCTCTTTGCCTTTTTCTCTCTCCTTTCATCCTTTCTACACAAAAACCTTCATCAAATTCCATAAATCTCTCAACAATAAACCAAATCAAAATCACAGACAAAATCAATCAACCAAAAAAATGCATAGATCATCGAGCAATACAAGAGTAGCAGATGAATATTACAGAAATTCATCTTCCTTCTTTTCATCTTCTCCATTACCAATCGATGGTGATGCAAATGGGAATACCAATGCAAATCTTCCAGTTTATAATCCTGGATCTCACCCCGCTAAGAAGGAGAAATCTCGCCTTAGATCCGCTGAAAATGCTATTCATCTTATCCCTCTTGTTCTTCTTCTTTGTGCTGTAATCCTTTGGTTTTTCTCTAACCCAGGTTTGAATTTTGTTTTTCTTATATCATCAATATAAATTTATGTCATTTCTTTATATCTTATAAAAATTGCCCTGTTATTTTCATCATCTGGGTTTTGTTGATATTCTTATGTTAATCATGGATTTTGATTGTTATGTTATTAGATGGAATAATTTAATTTAATTGGAATTAGAAATTTTTTGAAGGTGAGATATTTTGTGTTGTTTAGTGTTGAATCCCATTTGTTTATGAAAGTGGGTTTATGATTGTATTGTATGGTTATTGCTTATGAGCTCATGGAGATATGGGAAGGGATGTTGGCTAGTTATTAGTTGGTTTGAGGTCGAATCGAATCCCGTCCGTATCACTGTCCTTTATGGCCTGCACTAAAATTAGAAATCATGTTATAATGACACGAATAATTGGTGTTTATGAGTATATGTTTGTATGCTACGGAGCATGAATTATTAGTTCAATGATTTGTGACCCTGTTAGGAACTAAAACCAATATACCATTGTTGTTTTGGGATTTCTTACCATTGTTGTTTAATTTAGGAGTTAAAGGTAATCTCTTTTTTTCTTTTTTTTTTTTTGTGTGTGTGTGTGTGTGTGTGTGTTTGTGTAGATAGAGCGACAATGGGCAATGATGTAGGTAGGTATGATTTGATCCGAGGTTGTTTAGTTGTTTAGCTGTAGAACTATTAGTTGGACAAAGTTTTGCTTTTTTTTTTTTTTTCATTTTTATCTCTTGAAAAGAATGTTGCAATAATTATAAAATGAATCCATAAATCCTGTAAAACAATAATTGTATATTCAATCTTCTCATTAGTGTTGGGTGTGATAAACACTACAGCCGGCTAGATGTTGGTACCATGTCACTTCAATTGTTTTTGGTAATGCGTTCTTGTAAGCGACTTGATCTTCAAGGACTGAGGAATACTGGTTTATGATTCATTTCATTACTACCTGTTCCATTCATGTTGACATGATTCTTTTGGGAACAGTAATACCCTCCAATTTGAGTGTAATTGTCTCCCTCTAATCCATTCCCTTGTGCCTAATGATCACTGGTTTTCCTCTAAAATTTCAGTTGACGTTATAAGTAACAAGCCTGGTTCGATTGCTGCAAGAATTGAAGGTTTGCAGGCTGCTGGGGCTGTTGGCATTGATGGCACTCAGAACACTGTGCACTTGGAGCTTGAAGAACATGATTTGTTGCACCAGCATCGGACAATTGATAAAAATCACTCAATATGAATTCAGACGGATAAAGCTGTTGCGCTCTTTTCACTCATGGAGATCTGTAGAACCAACTGAAGCTCTGTTTGGTTGAGGCAAGCATCCATCCTTTTAAATTCTTCGACCAGAAGATAGTTAGAGAGATGCAGAGTAGAATCAAATATGTTTAGATGAGAGTTTCTGTGATCAGCTACTCTTTCTAATATTGCAGCTGAGAGTATAGGTTATATACATATGTAGGTGGAAGATTAAATGTATAAATTTATGGTAAAGAGCTTATTATAGCTCGTATAATATTTATATTATTGTTGACTTCTGAGTCTTGCACATTGAGTTATGACTATATGTCTATCTCTTTCCCCCCAAAAACCACTCCGATGTTGTTTAATATTGTCACAATTACAGAGGTTCACTAGCAAAATTTGTATGCTCCAGCAGAGGTCCTATCTGAACTACCTTGGGTATAACAATGCCATTTCTCACTGCACAAACTGCAGGATTCTCCCACTGGAGGAGGTTGCCAACAAGGTTTGCTCGGATGGTTAAGGGAAAGACACGAGCCCACCTCTCATCTCCATATGATTTCATTGCATCTTCAATAGATCCTTGTCCATGATTTATTGCTCTAGAGAGCTTCTTTGCCAAGACAATTGCATCCTCTAGGGCACAACATCCACCTTGACCAAGATTGGGAGTCATCGGATGCCAGGCATCTCCGGCTAGCACAACTCCTCCTTTCGACACTGGGGGAGTTAGAGTGGGCCATAGCCACCGGTCCTCAAGGGCTGCTCGACTGATTGTCTCTTCAGGCGTAAGATCTATGGAGGTCAGCAGCTCAGAAGGCCAGTTTCTGACTAAATCGAGTGCTTGTCTCTTCACCTCCAGTGGTTTCGAAATTTTCGGACCTGATAATTTTAAAAAACTTCGTGTTATAGGTGGCTTGATGAAAATGGATGAACGAAGATATCCCTATGAGAACTCAAATATAAGAATGTAAGATATATAGCTCTATAGAATGTAATTTTCTGGACCTGGAGAGCTTCTGTTGTAGCAGATGAACCAATAAACTTTTGTTGGCGAAACAGGAACAAATCCAGCTCTAACTCCTCTTCCATAGATGTAACTCACCCGCGGTTGATGAGGCTGCCCTTCACTGTAAACTGCCAGCCCTCGAATGGCACAATGGCCAGCATACTTAGGCTCTGGAAAACCCATCCACCGTGCTATTTGAGACCGGATTCCATCACATCCTATTACAACCTAATGAAAATGATATCAGAAGTTAGTGATATGAGCTGTTAGGCTGTTAGCCTTGATCCTTGACATATGAAGAAAACATCAGAAGATAGCTAACAACTTTGGCTGATAATTTAGCACCATTAGTTAACTCTAGCTGAGTTTCCCCTGTTCCCTGATTTGTTTCAATCTTAGCCAACTTGGACGAGAATTGCACAGAATTTGGGGGTAGTGCATCAGCAAGAGTCTGCAGAAGAACTCTCCTCTCTACTGCACGTACCTCTTGACTACAATTTGTTACGGAGTATTTCAACTTAATTAGTACTCCGTATCAAACCATATAGGCTGAAAGCTGAATCCGAAGGATAATTCAAATATGGCTCAAAATGTGAATTACTTTACCTTGGATCTACGTCTTTGAACTCAAATGACTTGAGTTCTTTCCCTTCGTCTGTTTTTATAGTCATCCTGTGCAGCTGATATCATGTAAATATTCAATGGCAAAAACAAGCGTACACATGAATCATAAGATTATACCAAGTATTGCTCAATCAATTGTCATGTCTTAGTCTTTAAATTGGTGATTTAGAAGGAAACATTCATGGATTCTATCGCGATTTTCAATATTGATCAAACTCTCATTACTGTATATATTATGCTTCAGATATTGCACTGTGAAATTAGCTTTTAAAATGCAAAAAGCTTAATATTCGAGTAAACGAAACGAAATGATCAAAGATGATTGCATAATACTTCCTCTGTTACTTAATCCTTGCAACATTTCTCTTTACACGCTTGTCAATGCACTATTTCAATCGTCAATATCTTTAATTACCAACGTGTAGAAATTATAAAAATTTGATATTAAGAAAGTATAAATCTAGACGAGTAAAACAAGATCCCACATGATTATATTTTTTCTAATCTATAAATCATTAAAGCCAGTCAAAGTGAGATATGTGAATAGTATAAAATTCAAACTGTTGTAAGGAAAAATAAAATAAAATAAAATGGAGGAAGTAATAAAGAATATGAAAGCATTACCCTTGCATTTGAAGAAATTGGGTCCTAAGCTCATTTCCAACACCAAGAATATCCAATACTTTCCACCCATTCTTAAAGAGGCTGAGTGATGTTCCCCCTTCTCTTAAGGAATCTGATTGCTCCAAAACTAATGATGGAATTCCAAGCCTTTCATAAAGCATAAGCAAAGTTTCATTATCATACTAACCAAAGTTACAAATTCAAAGAACAAAAAGTTTCAACCCCAAAATTTGAGATCTTATTATATGTAGTCTGCTCGGAATTAAATATTAAGTTGATGGTTTAATTTGAATTAGTAACGTGATAACTAAAGCCAAACAAAGGTAATATAGTATGTTCGGAATTAAATACTACAAAGTACGTTAATAATCTGATTTGAAGCGGTAACGTGACAACTAAATTCAAACAGAGGTAATACACACGGGGTGTCAAATAAAACCTGTGAAGGGCGAGAGCGGTGGCGAGACCAGCAATTCCACTATTCCAGCACCAACAATGACTACATCTTCATTCCGAGTATCAGAATTTGATTTTGCTAAACAGAAGAATTTGTTCCCATTTTGTGGTTTGTATGGAATAAATTTGTTAGTTGAGTATGTAGATTTTTGGTGATTGATTGCAGTTGAAGAATAAGGTGGGAGAAATTTGTTGGCAAGAAAAAGGGATGATAAAGTTTTTGAAGACATTTTTTTTTAGTGTTGCAAGAAAGTAAAACACAGTCAATTGCACAAAGAAGAGAGAAAAGAGGGTGTGGCAAGTAGTGGCTGAGAAATAACGGTGAAAAAATAATCTAAGGTCTTGTTCTTTCCACGTTAAATCACAATGTTGAAGAAAAATTATTCAATTAGTTTATATAAATTTTGATAAGCAATTATTGTAAATCAGTTCAAATCATTTATATAAGTAAGAAAACGTCGTGAAGTATTTATTTGGAAATGTGATTCAACTAATTTATCAACGAACAACGACCTATGGATTATTCATTTAATTTGGCGTAATTTTTTAGAATTGAAAAACTAATACTATAATATTGTTTTCCAAAAAAATAGCTAATCAACAATTATATATATGGTTAACTTAAAAGTGTAAATGCCTTTTAATATTTGACAAAAGATTGTTAGACTAACCGTATGTTACATACAAATGTTACAATGTGCCAATTTAATAAATCACGCCTTTAATAAATCGAGTTATTATAATTAATAACTTATCATCATAAATTGTATTCCATATACTACCTCCGTTAACAGTTATTTGCAACAAAGGGGGTCTGCACGGACTCCTAAGCAAAAGTTTTTAAGAATGATTATTGAAAAATAAGGTCATATGCTTAAGTATATATATTAATCCTACTAAAAAAAACAATTAAAAGAAAAAACCATAACCACGGAAACCCAGAACCACCAAAAACCACAGGAACCACCAAAGCCACCGAAACCCACAACCCAGAACCACCGGAATCCAACGACTAACCCAACAAAACCACCGACGAACCCTTCAAACCCACCCACAAACCACCAAATCCTTCGAGTACCACCAAAACCAACCCTTCAAACCCACCCACAAACCACAAAATCCAACCACGAACCACCAACGAACCCTTCAAACCCACCCACAAACCACCAAATCCAACCATGAACCACCAACAAACCCTTCAAACCCACCCACAAACCACCAAATCCAACCACGAACCACCGACAAACCCTTCAAACCCACCCACAAACCACCAAATCCAACCACGAACCACCGACGAACCCTTCAAACCCACTTACAAACCACCAAATCCAACCACAAACCACCGAAACCTTTCGACTACCACCAAAACCAACCCCCACGAACCCAGCAAACCCAACCACGAACCCAGCAAACTCACCTACAATGCACCCCCACAAACCTGCTAACCCACCCACAAACCACCAAATCCAACCACAAATACAAGCAAACCACCGACGAACAACTAACCAGATCTAGAACCCCCTTTAACAAAAGGTTTGAAATTTGATGAGAGATGAAGAAAAGGAAATGAGAGATGAAGAAGGAGAGAGAAAGATAATTGGAGAGATGCACTACAACAAAATAAAGCATAGGTAACAGTGAAAAACTATTGCCTAACATAAAAAAAAGTGTTGCCTTGTAGCTAAGGCAACACATATGAGGTGTAGTTTATGTCCCCGTTGTCTATTCCTAAGGCAACACATTTTTATCCAAAAGCAACAATTTTTAAAGCCAAGGTAAAATGATACTTAAGGCAACACTTTTACAAAGGCAACAGGTGATAATTGTTGCAACCTTAAAAAACAATTCAAAATCGTCACATTATGTTATAATATGCAACAACCTTTTCACTTGTTATATTTGTTAGTAATAGTATTAGAGTGTTGCCATATTTCTTAAAGGTAACACCTTGAAATTGTTACTTATGAATTGCACAAGCTAAAATGAATCGACTACTTTTTATTATTTATTGTAAGTAATAATTTATTGCTTACAAATAAAATATTGAAATTGAAATACATACACACTTATGCAAATAAAATATTGAAATTGAATTTATTAAATGAATCTAATGTATACATCACAACCATAACAATTAGTAGCACCTGTTTTAAAAAATAAAATAAAATAAAAAATTCACATTACAACAACAAGATAACGAGCAGTGAGCATAGCAACAAACATATATAGCAGCAACTGAAACAACGAGCAATAGCACCAGCAATGGAGGGCACTAGCAGCTGCATCAACAGAGAGAACATGTGCACATAAGGTACGGGAACATCAAAGTAAGAAGCTTTGTTTCTTAGTAGAGAGAGCATTATTAATGGATGAATGAGTGTACCAAGAAAGGACTTGGAAGCTTGATGGTTATACGGTTGTGTATTTGTGCAACTGACAGGCTAAAATCGTATCACCTAATCAAAAGTAATTCCTAAAACCACTAACTAAAATAGATAGGGAAGTAGGGTCGAATCCACAAACTAAAATAGATAGGGAAGTAGGGTCGAATCCACAGAGAAACAAGTCTTTATATT